GTAGCTTTTGGTTTCTTTCCTAGGTGTTATAAATTTGTGACAAGGCGCGCGCCACAATCATAGAAGAAGCGCGGCCAAACACTAACATATGTGTAAGCGCGAATCTATTATTATTATTATTATTATTATGTTATCATAATAGTTATTATAATCAATGATTTTTTTATTATTATTTTTTTATTAAAAATGTGAACGAACTGCATTAAATAATGAACGTTATTTCGGGAGAATACCATTGAAAATAGGGTAATTTTTTTCAGGAATTTGGCGGAATTTGCCTTAATATGGTTGGCCTCCATCGCAGCCATCCTCGACATATAGAACAATATACGATGGACCGCATGCAAAAGCTTAGAAAAGAGACTTAAGCGCGTTGTGGCAAACAAAGGTCTTATAATAGAATAACTGCCTTTCAAACCAAACCTTTATACTTCAAGTTATAATTGTTAACCGTTTCAACTTCTCAACGTTGATTAAAAAAAATACTTTGTTTTTATGTTTGATTTGGGCCAAGTTCCTATCTAATTGTTTGTTGGGTTAGAGCTGGTTCGGCCGTTGAGTTAAAAGGGAAATAAATTTCCTTTACACTCCTACGCGTTTCGACGCATGTCGCGCCTTTCTCAGGGAGTCTGTTTTTATTAGAATGACAAAACAATAAACATGAAATACAATAGTTTGAATATTACATTTAACATCGAACTCACATTTAATAATAACAACATTTATATCACAGGAAATAATTTTTACATTAGCACCCATCAATTATTTTGTTTATGCTTTCGCTGACGTCCATTCCTACTTTGAATAACAGCTGTGTAAGCGCTGTTTGTGCTGTCCACATATTCTTTAAAATTCATCGTATTGTTACGCTGCTGCTGTATGCGGAGACTTTCAAATGTCATTCGTCTTCTTTCTCTTCTTTCTACATCTAAGATCATCGTATTCGCGAAGTCAGCTGTGTGTTCGTTGTTGGTCAGGTGTTGGGGCAATGCTGGTGTCATCTTTTTGTTTTTTTGCGTCCATTTCGTGCTCGTGGATTCTTATGCTTATCGCGCTTTTCGTAGTGCCAATGTAGCATTTATTACAGCTTTCGTTTCCTTTGCCTTTGCAATTTATTTAATACACCACATTGCTATGTTGTTCCTTCTGAACTTTGTCTTTTGTTTTTGTATAGATTCTATGCAGTGTGTTATGAGGTTTGTGAGCGTATCTAATTTTCTCATTTCTCAAGATCGACCTATCTCGGCAGCCGGTTCGAAAACGCCCTATCTCAGAAAACTTTTCAACAACGCCCTACTTCAGAATTTTATTGAAGAACAACCTATTTAAGAATTTGATTGAAAAACACTCTATCTCAGAATTTTGTTAAAGAATTCGGGTCAATAACGCCCTATCTCAAACGAAAATGCATTGAAAATAAGCAGAGATAGGGCGCTTTTTAATCGGCAGCTGAGATAGGGCGTTATTCAACCAAATTCTGAGGTAGGGTGTTTTCCAACCAAATTCTGAATTGGAGCGTTCTTGACAAGTTTTCTGAGATAGAACGATGTTGAAAAATTTTGTGAGATAGCGCGTTTTCGAATTGGCTGCCAAGATAGGTCGATCTCAGCCATCGAATTATTCTACGTAGTGTTTGATTGTTTGTTAACCCTGGTATGTATGCTACGCCTATGCACTTTTTTTTGTCTTTTCTGGGTGATTTGGGCGTGGAGTTTTGTTGAGTGTTCCCCCCCATTATCCTTTCTTTTAAGTTGCGCGGGTAGCTATTTCTGAAGAGTATATCGCGTATTTTATTGTTGTTTTCTCTGTTAATTCTTATGTCGCTTATGCTACGTATTTTTTGTATGAGGCTTTTGGCAGTGTTAATTTTTTGTCTCCATGGGTGATTAGAGTGATAGTTTATTACTCTTCCCGATGCAATTGATTTCGTATACCAATTAAAAATTAAGTTGTTCTCATTACGATGTATTTCTATATCTAGGAAGGCCATTTTTTTTTTATATTCTTTCTCTGTTGTGAATTGGCGTCAGTATATCTTCCACGTCTTTGATTTTGACTATTGCTAATATATCATCTACATATTTGTTTGTGTGTTTAATATACATGTCCTTACGTTTTAATTCAGCTATGCTGTCGTGTAATATTTTGTCAAGTACAATGTCTGCTATTGTTTGAGATAGTGGGTTACCCATTGGCATACCATAAATTGGTTGGTAAAAAGTATTGTTGCATATAAAATAATTGTTGTCCCGTAAACAAAAGTCTAGTATTTTCTGAAACTATGTTTTCCCAATTTTTGTGTGATTCTCCAATTTTTGCCGCTTCTGAATAATCTTTTGTATCGCTAGATATATCGGGATATTTATAAATAATGACACGACGTCGAAAGATATCAAGATTTCATCTTCTTCTATGGTGATGTTTTGGAGTTTTTCTTTGAGTTTGTATGAGTTTTTTATGTTATAATCCTCGGATATAATGTTTTATAAAATACTGCCAATAAATTTTGATAATTTGTAGCAAGGAACATTTGTGGAATATGATATCGGTCTGAGAGGTGTATTTGGCTTGTGAATTTTTGGGAGACCATATAGTCTAGGTGCACTCGCAGCCGCATACGTCAACTGTAACTTTTGTTTTACATTGATCTTCTTTTGTTTGTAAACGTCATTAATAATGGCATTGCTTTTTCTTAATAATTTTTGGGTTTGATCATTCCGTATAGTTTTGTACGTTTTCTTGTCACTCAATAATTCACTCAGTTTTGATTTGTAATCCCCTTTATACATCATGACCGTTTTACTGCCTTTGTCTGCGTTCGTTATTATTATTTGGTCTTTGTATTGGTTTATGAATTTTCTGGTATTCATATATGTTTTTAATAAGAATTTTTCTTTTGTGTTGTTGTTGATTTTTTGGAAAACGTAATGATTTTGGCTACAATATTGCTTCTTACCATATTTTTTCTCTGTCGTCTTCGATCTCTTGTATACCTTGTTCTAAATCTGCAATAACTTCGGTAGGTGAAAACATCTTTCTTGAAACAGCAAATCTATTGCCAAGAGAGAGTAGCAACCGATATTCCTGTGACACTTGAATTTCAGTTTTGTTTATGAACCATTTTTCATTATACCTAATGCCAAATTTTGTCGCATTCTTTGAAATCTGATTGTGGAGTTTATTATAATGTGTTTGTTGTGTATCCATTGCGATTTTATTTGAGAATTGTTTTTGGCTTTCAATTATTTTGATGTATTATGGAACGAATTTCCGTCATCCCTTGTCAAATTTGGTTTGGAGACAAACCGGTTTCGGCGTTGTGCCATCTTCAGTGTCATTTTTCGTTCTCCTTATTATTTTCTTAAACTCTCTTTCATGAAGCTTGTTTTGTAGTGTGTCTTGAATGTGTTTCATAGTTGTTGCTATAATTTTAATATTTATGTTGGCTCCTTTAATTTCAAGGTTGAGGACTTTTAAAAGGAATATTTGTTCTCCTTTTTTCAATTCCCGACGAGAGGTGTCATGTTTGAAACCGTGTATGAGTTTTTTCGTTTTTTCCCTGTAAATGCGGTGGTGTAATGCCGTAGTCCTTGCATTGTATTAGAAATTTTAGTCTTTCTTTCTGTTTAGCTGGTTTTTTACCGTTTTTGGTGTACTGTTTGATAGTGAAACATGTTTCGTCGTTGTGTTTTAGTTTAGTATGTTGATAAAAATGCTTCATATTTATTGCTTGGTTATTTTTTGTTGCTTCGGGTTTGCTCACCGATTTTGATATTTTTATGTTTGATTTGGGCCAAGTTGCTATCTGATTGTTGGCTGGGTTAGAGCTGGTTCGGCCGTTGAGTTAAAAGCGAAATAAATTTCATTTACACTCCTACATGTTTCGACGCATTTCGCGCCTTCCTCAGGGAGTCTGTTTTTATTAGAATGACAAAACAATAAACATGAAATACAATTTTGATAATTTGAATATTACATTTAACATCTAACTCCCTTTAATAATAATAACATTTATATCACAGGAAATAAATTTTACATTAGCACCCATCAATTGTTTTGTTTATGCTTTCGCTGACGTTCATTCCTACTTTGAATAACAGCGTTTGTAAGCGCTGTTTGTGCTGTTTTTGTTTGAAAATTTAAGGGTCATACTGTATGTTGAGGCACATCAGTTTCTTGTTTTGAAATTTTGAAATTCCTCTGGAAGTTTAAGTTTTTTAAGATCTTATAATATGCTTTCGAAGCCGCTGAATACATAAGGAGAGTTAGTTTTTCGATCCGGCTCTTACCTTTTTAGATAATACGATAACTAATAAATAAAAACAGAAAAAACCCTTCTTAGAAAAAAATTATTTAATTTTACTTTAGTGATGATATGTATAGCCATAACCTTATCGAACAAAATGAATAATCGCAGAGGATTTTACGTTCATTACTTCTCGAGATATCGGCAAATTATTGAACCTGAATCTAGATGTGTGGCTGATGCCTGTATTTAAAAAATGTACTGCTTTAAAATTTCGGACTTTGGAAATTTTTTCGAGGTGTTGTCGGATATTTTCAACGTCATAAGAAATAATCACATTTTAAAGTTCAATTTCGGGTTTTTTTTTTGTTATTTATTCGTATTATCTAAAAAGGTAAGAGCCGTATCGAAAAAATAACTCTTCTAGTGTATTCAGCGGCCTCGAAAGCATATTATAAGATCTTAAAAAACTTAAACTTCCAGAGGAATTTCGCGTGCGCACGGATTGAAGGACGAATAATTTTAAGCAAAACAAAAATGGACCTGAACGACCTCTAAATTTTATTATTATTTAAATCAAGTTATGTAGTTTAATTTTTTACCAAAAGGAACACAAATTTGCGTGAGCACTGAATAATATTTAAAAAAAAAAAGGATTTCGTGGACCATTCTAATGTACATACATTCATATGTATACAACATTCCGATTCTTTAAAGTTTTTAGATTTTATTTTAATTATAACGTAATACATACCTCTCTGTCAAAATTTATATCAGTTAGTTCTTCAGGTTGTGTTGCATGTCCTCGGGTTAAAGAGTCAAAGTTGTCGCCAATTTCTATTACGGCTGGTCGGTTCATCCAATCACTCAATCTTAGGGACCCCAAAACTGATCGCAGCTCAGAAACCAAACTATAGGTTATATATAAAATATGTATTTGTAAGCCTATATATATACATGAATATTTATAGTATGTTTTATGTTTGATAGAGAGAGAGAAGGTTACGACAGCTGATTATTTTTCCCCATCCTTTTATTATTTTCTTTTTAGAATCACTTTCAAGGTTTTGAAATATATACATATATCTAGGAGCTAGAACGTGAAGTACTTTAAATAGTTTATACTTTGTTATTTTGTATTCAAAACAGGGTTTGAAAAACTGTGTATCAGTTATCAGTGTAAGCCGCTAGTGCATTTATGCATGCAGTGGTAATAATATTATTTATGCAAATTTGATGCTTAATAGCAAGGTGATAGTCAAATTGCTGCTGCCGCGCTTTCTTTGTGCTTTCACAAATTGCTTTAGAACCACAAAGGTTTTTTGTTTTTGTAGCTGTTTCGTGGTGAAAGTCCTTTACGGGGACCAACTATCCCCACAAGAAATTGAGAGCATGGTTACTTTTGCATGCCAAAAGAACGAATATTAGAAAACATTGAAATTGGTCTTAGTACAACATACCAAATGGCTGAAAATTTTTAAAACCGGCCAATAACCACGCCTACATCCCATATAACGGTAATTTAGAGAAATACGAAATCTTCGAAAAATCAGTAAATACCAAAGTTAATTTATCCAAAATTGATGTTTGCAATAATTCTTCAGCACAAAATACGTTTGTGATAAAATTTTGGAAATTATGATCACATATCGTTGGCTTAGTTTGCAAACGTGCTAAGTCCACTTTTTATGTAAATTGAGATTTTGATGCAGTAAGATAGCATAACTGAAAATACATCATTACCAAAAAAGAAAATTACCGTAATGTCGTTTTTACTTGTTGTTATACATTGGTACGCTAAGTCCAAAAAAACCAAACAAAAAATAATATATACACGTCTGTCCGTGTACACGATAACTCGAGATATCTCAACGAAATTTGGTATGTAGGTTGCCCTTTATCCAAGGTAAGTTGGTATTAAAAATGGGCGAATCGGAATTTAACCACGCCCATTTCCGATATAAAGGTATTTTCTAAAAATGCAAAAACTACGATATTTCAGTAAATATTGGATGCAAATTGTTCAAAATTAGTATGTGAAGTAGAAGTTTTGTAAAAAATATTATTATAATTTTTGGAAAATGGGCGTGACCCTGCCCACCTATTATGAAATGCTGTATCTCAGTAGCCCATTCACCAATCTCCACCAAACTCGTTACGAGCCTTATTTAGGGTCTAGCTAAGAAATCTGTTAAAAATCTAATTCACTTAAAATCGATCGCGATAACCACTCAGCAGAAAATAAGATTATCATACATTTTTGGATAATGGGCATGGCGCCGCCCACTTATGACCACAAATGTGTAACTCGGTAACCGATTTATCAATTTCTACCAAACTCGGTGCACTTAATAAACCTGGTACGGAAAAGCAATTCGTTGAAAATTATTCAAATCGGACCAAAATTACATTCGCTTCCCGTATATCTAACGGTCAATTTCAAAAACACGGAAACTCTGATATTTCAATAACTGAAGACGCTAATTTTACTTCAAGTTAATACTTACAACAATCTCTTAACAATAAATAAGACTGCGTGACACCGCCCACTTTATGACTACAAGGTGTATTTCGGTAGCCACTTTAGCGATTTCCACTAAACGTGGTTCAATTATTTCATTGAGTTTAACTCAGGATATTTTTGAAAACGTTTAAAATCGGGAAAAAGCCCCTGCTTACGACAGTATTTGATACGGGTATATAAAGTTCGGTTTCGCCCAAACTTATACCTCTTTACTTGCTTTTAATTATTTTCTTTTATAAATGGTACACAAATTTACGACTTAAAATAGTTATTTTTGTTAATAGCAATGAAATAAAACTGTATTAGGTTATAATTCATTTTAAAATTATAAAATAAACAATTAAATCTTTTAACAATAAAAAATAATGGAAAAAAGGTTGATAGAAAATGTGCTCAGTTAACATTAAAAGAATAAAATCTTAGAGAGAAAGTGTGGTAAGTCCTAAAAGAGCCTATAAGTCTGCAACAGCTTTATTTGGAAATTGGCCGATTATTGGTACTAAAACAAGATGAACTAAGGAATAAAACTGCATTTACAGATTAGAAAAATATTGAAAACAAAAAAAGTTAGACGGTTTTTTTGTCCCTCCTGAAAAAAAAAAATGGACTTAGCACGTTTGCGAACTAAGCCAACGATATATGTATCTCGGTAACCGTTCGACCAATATGTACCAAACTCGGTATGATTATTGTGCTTGCCGCATAACAGCAAAACGCTGAAATTATTTAAATCGGACTAAAATTACGCCCACTTTTTATATAACAGTAAATTTCAGAAATGCTTGAAACTTCGATATTTCGAAATTTAAGGAGGCTAATTTACATAAAATTGATACTAACAACAGTCCCTTGAAAATAAGTAGCATTATTATGGAATTTTCAAAAATGGGCGTGATACCGCCTGCATATAACTACATAAGTTTATCGAAGATGTTTGAAATAGGGATAAATCTACCACTGCTTACCAAGTAGCGGTAGTTTTCGGAATGGTGAAAAAACTATATTTGATACTTGCGCCGGTTATCTAATGTTCGGCTTCGCCTGAACTTAGACTTTTTTACTTGTTTGTTTTACTTTTATTTGGCATTTGGCAAACTTCAAAAAATAAATGATGGCCGACGAATTGAGCGAGCGGTTTTACCTTTAAATATTTGTATCATGTGCGTTTAAAACAAGGTGTTGTTGACAACTCACTGCGGCTATCTTTTAAGGTACTATGTTGTCAAAAAATATAACCAACGATTCAAAATTCATACAAATTTTTTGCAATTTGATTTTATATGATGGTTCTTCTGAGAGCAATGTCAAATTCAATCACACTTTGTTAAATACATTTTGATCTCTACCAAATAATATACTTCTTCTGTAAATATTTTGTGAAGTGTTCCAAGATTCTCTCCGTGCGTGTTCACTGTTGATCATTTGATTTAAATAATTTGTCAAACAATTAATACTCTAGTTTGATCGGAGTTAATATTATCTTCAGTAATTAATCATACTATATTAAAACATAAGCTTATAATAGGAGAGAAATTATTTAGTCTTAATATGCAAACAGCAAAACGACCATCGTTGAGTGCAGACGTATTTTTCGCAGCTCCGTCGCGTTCATAATCATTTTACGTGCGCGATGTGTTTGTGTTTCAATTGTAACTCGCTGTGTGCGAGCGGTGATTTTATTACTTGTGGACTTTGTTCGCAGAAGTTTCATTTAAAATGTGCAAAACTAAATTCCGCTTGCCTCAAAGTAATCAAATCTAATAAAAATCTAATATTCAGATGTCACACCTGCAGCTGTATATCTATTTCGTCCTGCTTGGCTAAGATTAGTAATGCTTTCTGTTCACTAAAAGAAATATAAACTGCTTTTGGAGGACATTCCAACCTGCATAATCCAGAATATCCAAAAAAAAAATTCGAATATATCGCACGTTTATATCGACAATGCTGCTAGCAACATTGCGCCTGGTAATGATACAGCTGATAATAACAATTTGATTATTACGCGTTCAAAAGCTAGGGTCGCTGACCTTAATAAGTCGCCCTTGAACGTTAATTCTTTAACTTCTTTTGCTTCTGCTGCTTCCTCCGCTGGTGCCATTACAACCAGTGTTGCCACTGGAGTTTAGTTTTAGGTACCAAAACGCCTACCAAATCAGTTTCCAAACTACCAAATCTTTGTTCATTATTAAAACGAGATTTCTTGCATGTACAGGGTTTTTTAGCTACACGAATTGGCAGTATAATATTGTTTACAGTATTGGTTAACCATTCATGCTTCGGGCTTTTAAACAAAAGAATTAACGCATTGCGTAAAAAAAACTTTTGTAAAAATGTGATTACCTTTGAGGCTAATTCAATTCATATTAAACATTTTTAATGTTAAAAAAAACAAAATCAGACATTTTATGCATTTCAATAAAACAAAATTCCAAATCTTGTTTCAATTTGCATACTCTCCCCCTTTTTTCTACCAATAAACTCACACTTTGCAAATTGCATATCACCAATTTTTCTTTCAAGACGATAGCCAATTTTTCGTTCAATTTCAACAGATGATCGATCATAGCTTTGGGAATTGAGTTTTTGTTTCTAGAAAATTATGTGCTTAGTAAAATTTAGAAAAAACAAAAAAAAAACTTATACGTGTGAGCAAAGTGAAAGTAATGTTTTCAACATGTAAACGCAAAGTGAACAAATTTTAATGCCAAGTTCGATTGAATTTTCAAAACATTTTTGCCTGCCAAAAGCTTCATCAAACCAACCAAACTACCAAAGGAGAATGAAGCTACCAATTTTGGTCCAATTGGACCAAAACGGCAACGCTGATTACAATTAACGCTCTCACTGCCGACGTTGTTACTGCGTGCTCTGCTAACCCAATAGGCATATGCTCGCCAAGCATGTGCACAGTCAACGAAACTGTGACGCTGTCTCCTCGCAATACTTCTTTGGCTGCTGATAACTCATCGGTTGCTGCGCATGCCATTGGTACTTCGGCTGCTGATAATGATAATCGCTCGGCAACCAATGGTGAATCAACAGAGATTAGTGACAAAAACTCAAATAACAATGCTGCGTGGACTGAAGTGAAAAACAGAAGGTGGAGGAAGCCTTTGGTTGTTGTTGGCTCAAATGATAGCACTGAGCTAAGTGTCGCTGTCCGCAATAAATGGTTACACCTATCATCGTTTGAGCCGAAAGTTAGCGCTGAAGACATAAAGAAATATGTAGCTAAACATGCTGGTATTGATGCTGATTCTCTCTCTTGCTACATGTTGGTTAAAAAGGATGACCCAGTAGACAAACACAAGCGAGTCAATTTCAAACTGGGCGTCTCATCGGTAAATTATCAGAAGCTATTAAGTTCGTCACTATGGCCCGCTA